ATACTGCTCCACATCTGGAACACCAAACATAGCACATCTGCGAGCAGCTGTTAACTCTGCATATCCAGAGAAAACATCCTGTGATCTTTACCGTGTAGCTTATGTTGACCTCCTCTCCAATCATCCTGGTGTCATTGAACACAGCGGCAAACTGTTCACCCTCTTTTACCACAATGTGTTCATCCACAGGTCGCCTGGAAGAGACACATGTTCATCACATCATATTAGACTGATCATTTTTCAGTCAGACCTTCAGACTTTGACAACAGCTGCTATAGAGGTCATGAACCCTGCGTCAAGTCGTCAATGTTTCTCTGCTTGTAATAACTTATTTGAAACACGTCGTCCATCTTTATAAACAGTCTATGATTCAGATAGTCTGAACTTCAAGGGTACATACTAATACTTTTATTAAACCTTCTTCCAAGCCGATATGGAAAACATAGCTTTTGCCTATTTACCCCCAGCTGCTATGGAGTAACATTACATTAACGCATTAACAACATGTGATAGACACTAACATTGCATGTCATTTTACAATGTAGCAGTCAGTGAGCATGATGAGGAGTGAAACTCCAACTACAGCCACTCACACTGAGAATATGAGTCCAGCCTCATACTTCACAGGGATGGAGATTAGCACCATGTTGTCACTCAGGGTAGAGGTCAGCTCTTCACTGTCACTGTGGGGAAAAAGAAATCAATGAGAAAATGTTATTTCTGCACTGAATATTAAAAAGAAAAGAGAACATCATAATTTAAGTGAAACGTCTTCAAACAGGAAATAAAACACAGTTAGCTGAGTCTCTCACCTTGTCGCTGTCACGTTGATCTGAATCACCTCCTGAATATGTTGAGGATTCACCTCAAATTTCACTTTGAAATTCTCCTGCACATATTAGATCACACAGTAGGTTTCATTCTCAGTATTATAGATAGATAGTAAATCTTATATTGTGCAGGTAACATGCAGACAAATGAACGTATGCTGAAACAAACCTCCGCATTGCCCCCCAGGAACGGGTATCCAACATTGCACTCCACTTTAGTATGATTCAGTGTACACAACAACTTCTCCGGCTGAAAGCACAAAGTAACACACACATGAGCACAACGCAAAACCAGCCACGCTGACTGTACACACTTAAAAATAACACAAAGACGAGAGCGATGCCAAATCTCACCTCAACTTTCATATAGTTGATGTTGGGCGAGAAGCTGAGGATGACTTTGGTGTTGTACGCATTGTCTTTGCTGTTTCGGATGTTGATGTTCACATCTAACTTGTCCGTCCTTGCTCTGATCGTCATACTGAGGTACAACGAAAACTGTCAGCACGCTCGGCTGTGATGCACAGTTTCCTCCACAAGGGGGCAGTCACGCATCACAGCTAATAAGGCCTAACTGCTGTGTTGTGACTGTAATGGAGACATTTTTAAATAACGCTTGTCCCACTTACCTTTTTACGCTGGGCTCTGCTTTGAGAGAGAGATCAGCAATGCACTTGTCATTGTTCCCACAGTCGACTAAAGGAATCTGCAAAGACAGAGACGGACATTTTATTAGGAAACACTCGTTTTTATTGTTTCATTCAATCTTCATAAATAGTATAATGTATTTAATTTAAATTGACAATAAAAATAAACCTTTTTGAACTCAAAGGCAAAAATCTGATTACTTTCCACTTTCTGTTATGAGCCTTTTTCAATCAATCAATCAATCTATCTATCTATCAATCAGACTCTATTTGAATAGCACTTTTCAAACATAAGATGTAATGCAAAGAATAAAAGCAATTAAAGCAATACAAACAATACCCCCCCAGGCCTCCATCCACTTAGAGCAAAACAATATTAACTGAGGAAACCCTGTGGTAAACCTCATTACAGTGAAGGAGGAAACACCGAAGGGAGGTAAACAAAGACAGAGAAGTAAAAAACTAAAAGAGTGGAAATGATAAAAAATAAAATAGTAAAGTTCTAAAGTGAGAGAAAGTAAAAGCAGAGATAAAAGTTACGCTATCAAATGGTAAACAATTCAGGGAAAGTAAATAAAGAAAATAATGACTTGACTCACTGTTTGTTTCAATGCAGTTCACACCACAGCTGCATGTGCTAATTAGAACAATAAAGGCTCTGTCTGCATGTGGGGAAAATAATGAGGAAGTCTCTACCTCAGAACATATAGTCAAACAACATATGCAACTATATCTGCAAAATATAAGGCAATATTTGTTAAATATCACTATTTAAATCAACTTTTTAAATCGACATCCTGTCTCAGGTAAGTCTTACAGAGGATAATTTTTGGCGGTTCTTGAAACTTTTAAATGTATTGGCTACCAAATGGCAACCCAACCAGTTTGGCATTTTGTCCAACGCCATCATGGTATTTTGAAACCAGAAGTATTAAGAAGAATGGGGGAACAGTTTGACTGAGGGCTGCATTCCCGCCTACACCTGCAACCATGCACCTATTGGACAGTATTAGCTGTCAATCAAATCGTATATACAAACCCCNTTGAGAATTCAGTTTTCTTTTAAGTGATGAGTCAACCTATTTTACAATGATGAACAAATCCCTGTGTGCAAATCCACAAGGATGACCTTTGAGCAGCTTTCTATACTTACACAATACAAATAGACCAGAAACCCCCTCACCACGTCTTTGGGGGGGATTAGCCAAGTGTGTTACTGGCAGATTGAATCAGATGGCATTGTAAATGAGACTGACCAGGATTTTCCCTTGATTAGACACAATCGTGGTTCAGACCAGTCTTAATGTATGGTAGAAAACCTTTCTCTCAATGTTTGGACTGCCTTCTTGGGATCTTTGTCTCCATTGTGCAATGAGTAAAACTCATCAGCCATAAAATTGGACCTGAAGGGAAATTTCATTCTTCCGCAGTAGTGAGACACAACAACTGGCTTCACACACGCAGGATGTCAATGTTTTGTTGATTCCATTTTTAAAAGACTCTGAGTTTTTCAGCGAGTGAAAAGCAGCAAAAGTAGTTTCAAGAATTTTAGTTTGACTTTTGTTGTGGGGTGAAAACAAATCAGTGTCTTAAAAACGAGTCTAAACTCTGGAATAACAATGAAGAATGTTTTCAGACATGAACTTTCACCTGTCACCTGTCAGACACATTCACAACAACAGGAAAATGTCCGGAACGTTCAGGCGAGAGCTGGCATGACATTAAGGTTCTGCTGCGGAAATCACGTGACATGTCGTGTTGCTCTTTTGGATGCGGAGAGGTTTTCTATTCTACCAGTTTTGCATCTCTTGTGGGTTTTGTCGCTCAGTTTTCCTGCTGAATTCTCACAAAGTCTCACTCAGACATTTTCCCAGATAGTCGGACATTTGTGTTCTCACATACAGCCCCTCTGGAAAATTCCAGGAAAAATTCAGTGCATGTCTGAAAGCAGCTTCTAGGCTCCAGAAGCTCCTCCAGAGGAACGAGAAGAGACATGAGAATCAAAACAAGCTGCTGCTGCTGCTGCTGCTGCTGTGTATTTGTTTGTATACCTAAGTAAAAGGGTGCATTCAAATGACCCTAATTTCCTTTGCTTTCCCCCCCAGAGTGTGTGAGGCTCACAGTTATATTTTTTCCCATTTTCAGTGGGCTCCCACTGGACTGTTCAACATCAACAGTGTCTGCTCTCCAGAGGGTCACAACCGGGAATCGACCGCAGCACAATATCAAAAGGTAAACTATAGCTTCCTTTTGATGACTTCCCCTTTCTCTCTCCCTCTGTGTGTGTGTGTGTGTGTGTGTGTCCCCTCTCACCAACACTTCCTTGCAGCGTGACAGGTTCTGACCCAGAGGGAGTCAGGATGTGTTGCGGCGTATAAACACATCACATATCCTCCTGTGTTTTAGACGTGACAGGAGCTGTTAGTGTTGCCACTGCTGTGCTTTTACGCACACCCAGGCTCTCCGCTTTACAAAGCTGAATTCTTGTGTGATAACCCCCCCACCCCACACCCCCTCTTTATCTGGACGTATCACTCATTGCAACAATTATCTGGAAACCCTCGCGTAGGAGCAAATATGCATGTGGGAGTGTGGGAAGGCTGCTCTGAATGGCGCTGTTGAGAAACTTAGGCAGACTGGAGGGATGGCACTCAGCTGTTGCAGATGATGATGTAGTGTAACAGCAGTGAGTTCGGAGCCAGGAAGAGAACAGCCCACTTCTCTTGTATTATAAAGATGGAGACAGATGGAGGATGTTTGAGAAGAGGTTCTAATCCTTCCTGTCTTGTCACTAAAATCTTCTGCTTACTTTTATTTGGCGGTTATAACAAGGCTCTTTTAAGTGGTCTTACTGTCTTATTGATGGATCTGGGAAGGCTCTCATCCAGGACAGGGCCTTGGTCTTCATCAGCTAGTCCAAACTGCAAAGACACCATGAGTGGGTCACGGAAATCCAGCTGGGCCTGTTGAGGAGAAGAGACAGGTGGAGCCCAACAAGAGGGAGCGAAAGAAAGAGGGAAAGAAAAGACGAAGGAAAAAGAAACGAATAAAAATCTACTTCATATTTGAACTGTAGTGACCTGTTTGAATTCAAAAAATACACCACAGCAGACTGTCTGAAGTAGTTTGCCTTGTAATCCAGCAGAGGGCGCTCTTGCCCTCTTGACCTATCAGTCAGTAACATTACAATGTTTTGCTACGAAAATGAAAGATGCTAACAAGCTGCAACGAAAGAAACAATCACAGAGAAATGGCACGTGGGGGGGTTGCGACAAAATACAATTTTGGATAAACTGTGCCACTGTGTATCAGACGTGTTCATAACAACAGTAAAATGTGCGGAACATTCAGGCGATTCAGCTCATCACAGTTAGTTCGTATTTGGTTTTAAGATAAATACTTTACAGACTGTAACAGGACAGATGGAACTGTTATTCATTTGCAGGCATTTGGTCATAAACCAAAGAATCTTGGCCCGGGGCAGAGGGGTGCCATGAAAAAATCAGGGAATCATCAAAGTCATTATGATTCATCCTCTGTGCATCATGAACGCCTGCACAGAGTTTTGTTGCCGAGATGCTTCAGCATAAACCTGAGCGGTGAGTGGACTGTCAGACTTTTTCCATGCCTGGGGCGATGCCTCTAACGTGGCTACAGAACAGGGTAACTGAAACAACCTGTGAGCGTGCACCGCCTTCTTCTTTTGAAACACGAAGACGACATTTGAAAGAGCTGCTTCACATTCCAGCGTGTACTGTACACGCACTGTAAGGCATAAATATGGCTCTTTCTGAGCCTGTGCCAAATTTTGATTGAACCCAAAAGGACTCAGAGGAAGAGCAGGACAACATGAGGCTGTATTTTCAGCCACTTGAGTGCGGCCTCACAAAAACAGTCTGTGCCTGTTTCTTGAAACATATAATAGTGATCATACTGTATTTAATCTGCTTTTAATAGCTGCCACTTCCAGAGTGCCTCACTGCGGCCGACAGGCAGCTGCTAGGTGGGTATTGATTTTTTCCTCCACTTAGCCAGTGAATTTCATTAAGTTCTATCTACACATGTTTGTCCACTATCTATGTGCACGGAACACAGTGAATCAGTGCTATTGCTCCAAGTGAGGAACTGAGGTCGTCTTTAATACAGACATGGACCAGGCAGTGGAAGTTTTGAATGCAGCAGCTATGAGTGGATTTATTTTTAATCTGAGGTTTTCCTAACTGGTTTGGGGCAGGATGCAGTGCGGTGTGCACTGAACACAAGCACACAGCACATGAAGGATGAAACACTTTTGTTTAACATGGATTAATTCATGATCCACGAGCTTCTGTCAAATCTGAGATCTGTTCTGGTTTGGAGCCGCTCCACCAGGTGAGACAGTTGTGGTGCTGGTTGTGTCTGGTACAAGTTTTCTGACCCCTGATGACCTGTGTGGGAAGTTTGTGCACAAACTAGCACACTAGAACAGAGCAGGTATTCACTCACACACAAACACACACACACACAACTGCAGCAGCTGTTTCCACTGATTAGTTCCTCTGTCTCTCGCCTGTGGGCAGCTAATCACAAAAATCCACTGCTGCAGTTAACGGCTGGAATGAGAGATTTCATATACATGCCTCTAAATGTGTCACTGCTTAGGTTTACAGTCGGTGGTGGAGTGGTGACGTCTGAGGGTTTTAGCTGTGATCAATCCCGGATCCTGTTGGCGATCGCCTGACGACAAATTAGCCTCTGTGGGCAACGGCGAATGGCAAAGTTTGGAGCTTCCAATGTAAACAGCAGATATCAGGAACAAGACTCCCTCCTCTGTTCGACATACACTGTTTACAGTCTGACTAGTTTCTTTCTTTCACACAAAACAACACAATCGATGATACTTCTTGTAAGTGTTTAAAGTCCAGATGACAATTTGGCTCGTTTAAATGAAGAAGCTGATGATTTTGTTCCGCCTCTTTTGCTCTCTGCACGAGTAGTTTAGCTGCAGGGCAACTAAAGGCCTGCTCAAATGTAACTGGCCAAACTAGAAACCGCTTCCTCTCAAACTCTCTCGCTGTTTCTAGAGATGAACAATCTGTGATGTGCTTGTTGGACCGCTTGTAGAAACTTTCCTTTGTCACATCCCTCAGGCACCTCATTCACTCTTCTCCTCTTCTTCACCTGTTCATTTTTTGCTTTCTCTCATTCTCTCCCCATCTCTCCACCTCTCCATCTTTGCATGCAGATGATTTATCACTCACAGCAGCACTGCTCTGCACTCGGCATGCTTTGATCAAGACGGGGTCTGTTTCATGTTAGGGCCAGCATCTTCCTACTCTGCACAAGACTCCTCACAGCTTTGTTCTCAAACCGTCACTTGCCTCAACAAAACAAGACAAGAATTAAACTTCTGTGAATGTACGTCACAAAAATTAAAGGAATCAAGCTTCTGTGAATACTGTGTCTTGTGGATCTGGGGCTAAAACATATAGTTTTGGGGTTGGATTTATTTCAGATAAGAAACCATAAGTGATTCCATGTGTACATAAAGATCAGAGTACTTGCCGACATCATGAAGGTCTGATTGACGCACACTGTCTCTCTGTCTTTGATGGTGAAGCTCCTGGAGATCCTACGATCGTTTTTATCGTCCGGATTAATAAACAACGCCCTGGCTTTTGCACGCAGAGCATCCAGATTCAGATTGTAGACGATCTCTGCACCACACAACAGACAAGTAAACATGTAGTGATTAGAAGTGAGGAGGTAGAGAAATGGGTTTAGTGACAGAAACGTCCACATCAACACAGGACGTTGTATGGCTCACCTGCGGCTGAGCTGACTTTCAGCTTGTCAGATTTGACACTGTAGACGAAACACACCTCAGTCAAGACACACACAGCTTTTTGTCCGGGCTTACACGAGTGATGAGACTGCTGCAGGTTTATTTTGGCGGGGTTAAAAGTCATGTTGGCGTGGAGTTCTGCCACATCTCTTGACCTGGTGAAATGAAACAAACAAGGCAACATCTAGATAACAGTGTAAATGAGAAGACTGCATTTACAAAAATGCAAACATTTATTTGTAGTTTTCAGCTACTTTATGTTTCAATTTCCTTATATAATATCATTAATATCTATCTACAAATTCCATTAATCAAAAAATGTCTGTCTGACTATGACTCATATATCTTGAGATCCGTCTCGGCTTCACACTTGTAAAGATTTGGACCTGGGATATGTTAAATATTAAAATGAAACTGCAATTTAATTTGTTTTTTGAGCTGTGAACTGTTCTGGATCTGAACTATTCTAGGACTGTTCTTTGATAAATGTTTTAAAATCAAAATCTCTTACCAAATCTATAAATAATCTATTTTCATGGGTTGAACCTGACTCATGACACCACCCAGTGTTTCAAAGCGTTTGTGAACACTTAAATAAACTTTGAATGAATGTTGACGGAAGCTTTTTTCTCCACTCTTGGGAGGGGGCCTGGACATTAGGCTGGGAAACACTGTACAAAAGTAAAACTATATACAGCAGTAAAATTAGCTCCACCTTCCAACAACACATGCACAAAGTCATAGGCTTGTGTGTGTGTGTGTGTGTGTGTGTGTGTGTGTGTGTGTGTGTGTTTCTTGTTCAGGGCAGAACAAGGAACGGATGCACACTGAGCAATAAACTTGGCCTCAACTCTCTCTCTCCACCCAACCGTTGAGCTTCGGTCCAAGAGGAACTGCTGCCAAATCCTATTTAAACTCGAAGCCATTTGGGAGATGGAGTTTTCACACAGCTCAGTTGAGCCTCTGCCAGTAGAAACTGTGGGAGAAGGTCTGCCTGGGAAGTTAAATCATGGTGACGGCTGATGTTTCAAAACTTTTGGTGGGTGGAAGTCTCTATAGGCCAGCCTCCAACTGCGAACTGAGTAGTCAGAGGTTTTCTAACATCATTAGGAAGATGTTGGTCTCTGTCCTATAAGCCCAGTGGGACGCGGACAGCTGTCTAAACCCAATGCGAAGCAGACGTGTAAGTCGATGTCTCCAGGATACGAGCACCACTGCTGGTAATGATTGAAGTGGAATGTGTGGTTGAGTGAATGTTTATATCTGAGGATGGGCCACATCTCACCAAAACAGCGAAGCCCCTCCCAGACCTCCTATGGTGACATCAGTGATCCCGTCTCCATTTAGATCCATGACTCCGTGTATGGACTGACCGAAGAATTTCACCTTTTCGCCGTCCCCACCTGCAGGGATCCGCTGAGGAGACACCACAGAACCAATGACAGCGTTTTAATCTACGTTTAATCCTACAAAATCTTGTAGAAGTGGCACAGAAACGGTTCTCACCTGCACAAACTTCTCCTTCAGTGACGTCTTATCGCCATGATAGATGTAGACGGCTCCTCTGTGGTCGTTCTCGAAAGGTGCACCGATCGCTACGTCGTTTAATCCGTCCAGGTTGAGATCTGACACGGCTGCGATGGCTGTGCCAAAGCGGGCGCCACACGGTTCGTTCTTATTAGTGCAGCTGGCTGAGTGGGCAGTGCAACAGGTCTGATTGACAGGCTTTAAAGTGAACTCGTGCTGAAACTTGCCGTCCTGTTTATAGGGCAAAGAAAATCACAGGGACAGGAGGAGAGACGATCAGTGGGTGGATCCTCACAACCTCAACAAGCTTCAACCAAAGACCCGAGTGAACCTCATGTTCAGTCTCCTGTACCTGGTTGGCTTTGTAAACGTAGACTTGACCCTGCTCGTCTCTTTCTGAACCCATGAACATCGGAGCTCCAATCAAGAGGAGATCTGTGTACGAGTCCCCGTCCACATCCACAGTCTGCAGGACGCTGCCGAAGTAGGAACCAATCTGCACACAGGAGTCAGACATCATGTGTCGGTTTTATCATCTTTAACTTTTATTAATATTTCATGAATACAAATTTAGACGATGTGAGCCCAGACAACAAACTGATATCATCTCACCTGTTCTCCTTTTATTATCTGCGAGATGATGATCTTGTTTTTGTCATTGAGACGATAGATAACTACCCGGCCTGTGTGGTTGTACCGCGGTGCTCCTGTGATGTACAGCACTCCATCACGGGTGGATGCAGACTGAACATCATAACCTGATAGAGATGCATACACAAGCACATATTGTATTAATGCGCACACAAACAGGCATCATCAGGGACTTGTTTGGTATTTGTACCTAATGATGTCATCTGGAGAACACACTTGTTTGTCTTGGTGGGATATTTTTAAAGCCTCTTTTCTTCAGCCAGTTGCTTACGTCCGACTGTGTCATTGAAGCTATAAAACACAACTGGAGGCTGGCAGGAAATCACACGAGCCTGCGTGCACTCACACTCACAGATCAGACTAGCGCACAAAGGCTATGTATGCAAAGGCTGCAGTCAGACCATTAGGTATGAGCACATGCCAACAGCTGAGTTTACAGTACGCTAGCCTGGACCTACCAGTGCAGCTTCAAATGACATGTTGATTAAATAAGTTGACATTAAGATGCTGCGGTTGCTCCACGAGCCATAAAAGGCAGCAGGACGGAGAGAGAAGAGCCTGTGTATATTATTTATGTGACACACAGCGAGAAGCATCTGCTGTCAGAGTTTGACAAATTACATATCTCAACCCTACGTGCAGGAGAGAGTCTATATTTATTCTGCAGCTGCAAAATGTCAGTTAATCTGGTGGAACGTCTGCTGCTCGGTGCATGAACACACACACAGCTCAGGTAGAGGTGTTGATCACCATGACCTTGACCTATGACCACACAAATCTAATCACTCCATATGTGTTAAAGAGAATGGTTAGGCCAAATTGAAAAGGATTTTCTCGAGGGGTTCTTAATAAGACACATTCAGAAGGAAAAAAGGGTTTTGTGACATCAGAGTGACTTTGACCATTGACCTCCAAATTCTAACCAGTCATCCTGGAGTCCAAGTGAATGTTTGTGCCAGATATAATGAAATTCCCTCTGATGGTCCCAGAGATAGAATGTCCACCACCAAAATCGAATCAGTTCATCTTTGAGTTCATCCTGAACGTTTATATCAAATTTGAAGGAATTCGCTCAAAGCGTTCTTGGGATATTATGTTCACAAGAGTGGGACGGACTGACAACCCAAAAGTGCTCCACACTGTGTGTTTCCAGTGTTTTTTCCTCACTTAGTCCAAATGCTTAAGGTTATTTTTCATTAACACTAAATATTAATAACTAAAGACACACCCCTCACTCTGTCAGAATGCTTCTTCTAACATCTGTCAATAATTCACAGAACAGTAGTTACATGTGTTAGTCATGTTTTCACGTCTGTGCCGGCTGCCAAGAGCTCACCTATCAATTACATGAGCTTTTTTTTTCACTTGTTGCTTTGTAACTTTTGAGGCAGATTATCTTGAGGTAAGTCAACAATCTATCCCTGATTACTTTAATGGAATGACATAGCACAAAAATAATAAGATTAATAATATAAAGTAACTATGTATAGCAGATAAAAATGGGAATAAAAACAGACCTGGATCCTTAGATAGTGCAATATAATGTCTTAATATGTAATCACATTAACTTTGCAGTTTTGTCCTCATAAAGCTTTTCTATTGCCCAGTAATGTGATTTCTAAGTGTGTAACAGCTTCAAAATGTGTTTTCGAGGCCTTTGAGATATAATCCATCAACTCACCGAGGTACCCAGCCAGGCCTTCATATCCAGCCTCAGTCTTTGGGTCGTAAAACTGTGTTTTCCCTGGGACGATAGTTTCTCCAGCAGTGTGCATCACCACCGTCCCGTTCCAGTCGTACGCTCCCACTGCTCCCAGTAACACACCTTCCTACAAGACACAATAGAGCATTTTTCACCATATCCTGATGTTTGATTAACCAAAACATTGGTTCCTTAATTGAAAAAGAACTGACAAATACAGTATGTTACAGGAAATATACATTTAGACAAAAGTAATTAAATAATAATAGATATAGAAGCATAGGACAAATCAGTATGAATTAATGTGACTAAAGTTACAACCTCACAGATGTATTCCTCTGTCAAGTTGCAGTTTATACCCATCATCAAGTTGTCACCAGTGGGCTACTTGTTAATTATTACCGGGAAGAATGGTCCTGACTGTCCCGTCATTTTAGTTAAAAGAGGATGGCACCCCCCATCAACTGGTTATGACTCTATTGACAGGATAGGATATGATATTCTAGTGTTTAATCTCCAGATAGAGAGATTTTTTATCTTTTTGACATTTCTGCTTTTATGTATTTGAAGGTGACAGTGGGACAAGCACAGTCAAGTGGCGGGAAGATATGCAGCAAAGTTCCTGGACTGGATTTGACCCAGTGAGCTTCTGTAACGCCTCAGCCTTGTGTGAAACTATTTTCACAGAGGAGTACAGAGGACTGATAGGGAGCTTCGTCACATGGTGCAGCAACAATCCCCTGAAGCTTAACATTGGCAAAACCAATGAGCGTGGGGTGGAGTAGCAGAGGAACAGAAGGCCCCCTGTCCTGTTTGTCATCCACAGACAGGAAGTGAAGAATGTGGACTGTAAGTCTAATCAATTCAAAACTGGAGATAAATGCGGATTAGAATCTATTCATTAATAAGATTGATATACACAAATAAATTATTTTGAAATATTGCCCATTAATGGGAGTTTTTCCTCATCAGTGTCGACGGTCTATGGATCGAGGATTAACTTTATTATACAGACTGTAAATACATTGAGGTAAATTTTGGATTTGTGATATAAAGGATATAAAAAATACAGTTCACTTTTAACTTTGACTTAGCTTTGTTGTTCTTGTTCTGCTGTATATCTACTGTTGAAGTTCATTGTTTGTCAGATTTCTTGTTGGGCTTGCACAGCGTCTAGTGATCTGAAGCCGAACCCCTGTCCTGCTCCTGATACCGCGTCATCAATATGTGAATGTATTAATGATCGACTTGTCGACGAGTAAAGTGCTTTGAGCTGTTAACAGCATAAATTATACATATGAATGGATTCACTATGCTTGGCAATCACAGCAGATTCTGCTAACTATGCTGCTATACTGTAAATAGCTTTGAATAGTCAATAACCATCTACACAGACAGTTTCCAGGCTGGCGCCAAAGATGAGAGTCACTAGGTGAGTTTGTGAAATATGGTCACAATGTGTTTTTACGTCCACAGCAAACAGAGTTATGTGAGAGGAAGAGGAGGGGTCACACAGGACATAACACGGACGGTTAGTCAAACTGCATCAAGTAGTATCCTCCCACTACTGGATGCCACAAAGCCTCACATGTTTCAGCGCTGAACTGTACAATTCAGTTTGGTGGTGTGTGGTATTTTTAAGTTGAATGAGTCCCTGCAGGCACAGAGACGACGTATGCAACGATCGAGGAGGTGATAAACATGAGTCAGGAGCAGGAAGAGAGGCGTAAGAGAGAGAGCCTGTTTGTCTTTAAATAGACATAGGAAATACCTAATGAATGAATACAAGAGGTGTGTAAAGTGGATAGAGCAAGCATGTTGTTTTTAACGGGAGTGAACAAGCATCTGATTCAACCTCCTCTCACCATCTCTCTTGCTGCTCTTGCCTTGTGTTTGACTTTTTGATGTCCTCCTTTCTTTATTTGTGTCTCCCACACTCATGCAGTCAGACAAAAACAGCAGCAGAGAGGACAGAGAGGAGTCTGTGTGCGGAGGTTGTTCACTGACTGAGGTAAATCACCAACGGGCTGATGATGCACCACAGATAAGACCGGTGAATTGTGTTTGGATGAGTTCATTAGTTGAGCAAACATCCATCGTGACAGTGCATCCGCTTGCACATACACACACATAAATGTAATAGTTCCTTTTAAGATAAACGCCCACACCCATGTAAACTTCCTAAAGGTATGATACACACGTCATTTAGTCTGGTTCACTGGATTTACATGACAAATGTGGTGTTTGTGTAGTCGTCTGACATAAATACGATTTTGGATTTAGACTTACTTTAGAAGTATGTGCACTAAATCCAGTCTGGGACATCTCCATCTCAAAGCTGGAGGTGAAATTGCTGGTGGTGGCTGAGGAAGGAAAATGTTATTTTAACTACGCACAAAAAAAATTACATGATGAAATGTTCTTAGTATTTTACTGTCACATTATTAATACAGTTTTGATTGAGAGTGTATTAAAACAGTTGATCTCTTTGAAGAAATAGTGCAACATTGTGGGAAATACACTTCTCCATAAGCCTTCAGCTTGATGAAAAGAATGATACAGCTCTCTCCTTTCTGCACAGGTATGTACGGTGCTAAAGATAAAAGCATGTTAACCTTTGACTTTTCAGACTTTTCTCCATTCAAACAGAAAGACTACTTTTTTTCTGCACTTTATTAAAAAGATGCAAATACAATAGCTGAATTGACGACAAGCCCACCTCAGGTACAGGTAGACACAGTCCACATATGTGATGATGATATACATAAGTTTCAACTCCGCTCCCTAAATTACAATGTGAAACTAAAAACCAAATGTAAAAAAAGAATTCTGTACAAAAACAGTCTTGGTTTTAAAGCGAGTTTTGTCCTGCAACTACTTCTTGGCAAACTAAAGTCATATGTAAGACATTAGTGATTAAGTGAATAACCGGATTTCCCAAAATGTTGAACTAATAAAAAGCTGTCGGGTGTGTGAGGACTAAGGTATATGTTTGTTTTGAATGTTTGTGAATGTTTAGAACTGTTCTGTGTGTGCTTCCTGTCACCTTCCAAGGCAAAGATCTTGCTTCCCAGAGCGTCCACGATGGTCAACAACGCCACCTCATCGGACACGTTGAAGAAGTGGTCTCGTAACGGCTGACTGGAGATGGACTCGATCTCCTTGATGAACTTCTGCATTTCCTCTGCACTTTTGTTCTGCCGATTGTAGTCTCCCAAAACCTGGAAACACAATGAACATATCTTAACAACATCAATTTACTTATTACAACTTCCATTGATTTAACTTTAATGGTGTTGCTTAATAGATCTTTTGCAAGGCGGAGTCACTTACCAAAAACATTTATTTGTCTAAATATTCAGTGTGTTTTAACTTTATATACTCTGGTTTGTACTCACAGCGATGCCAAACCTCTCGATGCCGTCATCATCGCAGTCTTTAATGACCATGTCTACTTTATAGGAGTCATGTGATTCCCCGTCAGTGACGATCACCATGACTTTCTTCACACCAGGTCGTGCTCCGCGCTCTGGCATGAAGGCCTCTTGCCTGATTGGCAGAAATTTAAAAATCAGCAGTAGACCTCCAATATACACCTAGTTGCATCCTCATTGTATGAAGGCATCTGACCCTATCCACACATGTACCCACTTATTAAACCACATGTTGAAGCCTTATTCATTCCAATGGTTTTATTACACTTGGTTGCATGATGCAAGTTACATCTGTACTGGTTTTAGCTCATGTGTGGCCCAAATGTTGTCTTATTAAAACCAGTCCATCACTTTTAATAGAGTAGTTAGTAGATTTAACATTGCATTTGCATAATGCTGTTGGTCTCGTAATGGAAAGTTACAAAGAAGTGTCAAAATAGGATGGGACATGGGCCAAGAGAGAACCCGCCAAATTTTGGCGTTGATAAAAGGGCGGATCCAGGAATTTTGTGTCAGCTTTAACATTGCGAGATAGCTAGTTTGACATATTCACTGCAATGTGATGCAGCTTCATTTAAATATAATTATAAATATCCACAATGCAACTTGACTGAGATTTGTGTGTGTAAGGATAGTAGCACCTAATGACGCCTTGGACCCCTAACTTCAGGCAGAGGTGAGATGGGCAGACTCCTTTCTAACGCCACACCCTTAGATTTCTTTCTTTTACATTTTCAATACAAATGAGCGTGACAGGTAAATGTTGAGTACCTGGCAGTATCAATGCCGAGGAAGGTATTGGTCCTGAAGCCGGTCTGCTGAGGAAGTTCTTTGACAAATTCCAGCAGATCATGAGTGTTGTCAAACTGGCTCAGGTTGACACGGTGAGTCACAGTCTCACCGTAGGACACGATCCCCACCTTGAAAACACACCCAAACAAACACACACACATTGTTCCTGTAAATGTTATCCTATTTCAAATGTATGGGTTTTTCTTTCTCTCTAATTCTGTCCTCTCCGCTGTCCCCTCCCAGACAGTCTGCTGAGGATGTGGTCGGGTCTGGTGGGATTTATATGACACAAGTTGCTTTATACAGCAGGCAGAGAACTTCAGCAGCCATGGAAGATGTGACTTACAACCACTTGGCTGCACAGGGAGAAGAGTTTCCAGTGTTCCCCTCTGGAAAACTCCGCTAGCTTCAGGCCAGATCACTGAAATCATAATAAAGACTAACCGCCTATTTGCAGAACGATGTAAGACAAGTGGACAGAAATAAACTCAAGGTTTAACTTAGTAAGACAGAGGTTAAAATGACTTGAAAGACCATTAAGTAGTCGGTTAATGAGGCCTGCGTCATGAAGGACATCCCGCAGTTATTCTTACTGCTGGCAACATCCGGGAAATTCCATAGCGGAGGGACTTAAAGTTTCTCTATAATATGATACAAAAGATTGAGTTGGCATCAAATAATATATTCCTTCATTCATCCTTTATGTAAGTATAATGTTATATAACCAATCCATTTCTTCATGTATCAATGTTTGATTCCACTAGATGAAGTTTAATAACGTATTCCGCATGTTTAAGATAATAGGAATTTTTTTTTTTCATTCATGCAACTGACCTGTGAGAGTTTAGGTCCAATCTCAATTTTCTCGATGAAGCGTTGCAGAAAATCGATGATGCTGGTCCAGGGGTAGATGCTGTTGGATCCGTCCAGAACCAACACGATGTCCAGCTCCTTCCCACACTCTGGAAAAAAGACAGAAATATATGACTTGATTCAAGGGTGAGTTTGATTTTTGATTTTCAGTTTCTCTGTATGAAATCAAGGCATACTGACAGGTGAGGCTGGCCTTCCGTTATGCACATATCAATTATTTAATGTATATTTTCCAAAGGTGGATGCTAATCTCACTAAATCATTAAAACCACATTTCATTCCTCATAAATAGATTTGAGTATGTCCTCTTCCTGTTTACTCCTGAAAGTACTGTTTCCTTTGCCCTCAGCAGACACACTACAGCTTCACATCAAAATTAAATAATGTAGAGCAGTGGTTTCCAACTTGGGGGGTTTGAAATGATCTAAGTATGTGTATTTAATTACATATAGTTCTTTATATAGTCTTTGCTTTGTTTTCTTGTGAATTACTGGATCCTTTTAGTCCTTTTGGAAATTATTCAAGCAAAACAAGGAGACAATTCTTTGTTTTAAGAGATGAAAAGTCGATAATAAAACTGTAATAATAAACCGTGATAATAAAGTTCCATTTCTCTACCAGTGATCCCATATACTTCTAATAAAGAGCCAAAGATAGGTTATGTTCTTCTTATTAATCATATGTAAAAACTTTACTTCTAATTGAGATCAAGAGGTCTTTTGTAAGAGAGGCCTATGTACAGCAGAGAGGAAGGAAAAAAACAAACACAGCCAGACAGAACAAATACACAGAGAGCGTCAGAGTTAATCACAGACATCACTAAATAAGTTTCAAGTTTAAAATTGTCTAGTGGGATGAGACATTCAAAATCCTAATGTAATTCATTTAAGTGATGAGGTTCAAAGTGTCAAGTCATCCCAAGTTCAGTATTACCCACGTGGTGAGTAGAGTCCAACAGTCCCGGAGATCTGGTCTGATGAACAGTGGTTTTAAATTTGATTTTGAACCGTCATGCAGAGAACTAATAAGACTCCAGTGACGTCTCACTTGACTCAAGAAGGCAAAAAAAAAGGTCAAACTCTCTAAAGAGTACTGCCTCTTCTCAGTTCTTCAGTTTACTTTAATTCAAGATTGATAAAATCATAAAACATTACAGACTTGACATCTTAATGGGTTGTTGTAACAACTATATGATCAGATCTGTGTGTTTGTTTGTTTATGTTGAAGGAATGCAAGAGAAAGTGATACTAAAAGAACAAGAGAAAAACAGAAGGAAAAACGGGCTCTTTGCTGTTGTTCTTGCTGCGTTGTTTCCTTCCCAGGAAACAGAGTCCAGGCCCATAAACTGTCTCCTAACTTGGGCATACAACGCCGGAGGGAGGCTGGGCGAGAGAGGGACAGGGGTCACAGACGAGTTTAGATTAAGAAGAATGCTCTAATCTCCCACTTCACGTCATAGGGTGAGTTTGATGCAAGGGCTTGGGTGGTACTACTGCTTGGAGTAGATTATAATCTCTTTTCCCCACAACTGCAATTTGTTCTGATGCCGTCACGTCCTATGCGGATATCTGCTGTGTCTTATGCTGTCAGGCGGCGTACCTTGCACTGTGGGTGCCACAGAGTTGAGGATCTGGAAGGAAGAGCTGACATTCGCACAAACTCCCGAGATGTACTGCTGCTGCCCGCACATGTAGCCATACTGAGGACCACACGCCTGTGGAGACAGTAGACACACACACACTGAGAGTCGGGCTGTGACTGGTTAGGTTTCCACCAGTATGAGGTCATGAGTGAGAAGCGATGCATGGCTACTGAAGACAGAAACCCAGAGGAAAGAACTACTCAAACTGAGGATAACATGGAGACTATTAAAAACCACCAGAGATCCCTCAGACTTAACTTCTCTAAATAGAAAATGGGAACAGAGAGAGTGAGCCTGTAAGGGAGCAGAGCTTTAAAATTACAGACAATAACTGGAAAATTAATTTTTCAGCCTCATTTCCTCACATTTCTCTGCAACTCAATGCTTTCCTGACATTACAAGGCTGTTGTACAAGAACAGTCCACAGCGAATTTTAGCCCAGCAGTGCTTTGAGTTAATGCTAACATATCAGTCAAAGAGAATTCTGTCCCTATAGGCCATTTTAACATAGAAAGTAAATCTATAAACGTCCAATACACACATAGCCTGTAAGGTAATTACACAATGTCAACATGTCTTGTTAGAAAAACATTTTATTCATATTTCACTCAATCTGATGTGTCTCTGGGTAGAAGTCAGAACCATCACATGTTTTGTATTAACTCTGGAAGGTGCTGAATTACAGTATATAAACACAGGAATAGTGTTGAAGAGTTACATTAACACCACTGTTGATCACATTAAGTGTTAGGGCTTCAGTTACATTGTGGCCCTCACAGTCCAACATTATATTTTCTTGCTCCCAATAGGTTGCAAAAAGATGTATTTATTGGCCTTTTGTCCATGTTTCTATAATGTTGACAAAGTGTTAATCTCATAATCATGTCCGAATAAAGTTCTTCTGAAATTTATAACCGTGACACATCGTGGGCCTCTCCATCGCCTACATAGATTTCTGCATTTATACACTTGATTTACAGTATCCTGTTACATTCCCAGGACATAAACCCTCACTGGGGAACATGGACTGTTTCCATACAGACCAAAGGCCAAGAGAACGTACACTTGCTGCCCCATTTCATGCAGAAAATATGCAAAGTTCAGTCGTGCTTTTGTGTTTGCTATGGAAAATATACTGTAGAGCACTTTCATATACAATAAAGAGCAACTTCCTCCTTACCAGAAATCCTCCGTTGGGATTGGTCACCAGTGTGGTTCCCATGGTCATGTTCTCCTTGACTTCAAGTAAGTTGGGAACTGTTGTGTTTTCTAAGAGAAATATGGATGAATAAACAGAGTGAGACAAACATGCAGAGAGCAGCACCAACAGCTGGATGAATTCCTCTTCTCTGTTTTCCCACAGGAAGAGAGGAGCTCAAACTCTGTTCTTACTTTCAGTCCACCTCAACAACATGTAAAAACCACTGACATGTGGTTAAATATAGTTTGTTTTACTGTCCCTCATCCAGTATAATACTAAGTGTTTAGCTGATAAATCTCCCATTTGTGGCAAAGAGGACAAATAGAGGAATCGAATCATTAAGCAATCACAACATGTGGCTAAAATTAACATCTTCTGTCAGACTATTGCTTCAGCCTGGGAATGCCTTGGAACTGACTTTTTTTTTTCTTCTTTTTCTGTGGGATTCACATATTCTCATAAACGCATTCAGTTGCCTTTTTAAATGTTGAATCAAGCTCTTTAGCAATCCCCATGGGTGCGTTTTGATGAATACCCATTTCTGAGTTTCGTTAGCAGCCAGTTATGACTTCAGTATGTGCTCCTCTTCAAACACATGAAGCAACAGAGCTGTTAGTAGTTAGCAGTGACGCCTTCATCTTTATGTTGGCACAGATGCCTTCTCCTTGTATCCTTCCTCCATTTCCTGCCCTCATGCTTAAAGAAGAGAGCATCATTTGGGCTTTCGATGACTTCTCACTGACTTCAAGAGTAAAACGATTTCATTTAGGCAAGTTAAATGAAACCTCTTTCTTGATTATCTTAGAATATGGGTGAGATGAGCCTTATGATGTGTCCACGCAGGACTGAGAGCAGCTTTGTGGAGCTGAAGAGGAGAATACAGTCTTTGTCTTCAGTGAACTGTGACTCCAGATAACAATCAGAACAAATTGCACTGATCATATAATCCATCTTGGTCTGGAATGACCTCTGAGAAGTCAAAGGAGGATACAGGTCAAATGTCACTTTGTAAAGTGGCATTTACTAAAACATACCAGTGTTTTACCAGGGAGCAGATATAAACTGTAATGTTTTTCTTTTACACGGATGTTTCATTCATTCATTCATTCTATTTTACAAAGATGACGGTGGAGGTAAACTCTCTACTCAGCACCATTCTACTTTGTTGGTTGATTGTATGTTTGTTTGTGATGAACAGGATTACATAAAAACAACTGAATGGATCTCTGTGAAACTTGGTGGAAAAATGAGACATGGCCTAAGGAAGAATCTATAAAAGCTTGTTCTGGATCCAGAGCCAGGAATTTTTTTTCACTTTCTTTAACATTGTGAGACACAGTTCAACATTTTCCTTGATTTCTCAGAGAATAATTAATTGTTCTTGATGAAAAAAAGCTGGCATGTATGAGGGGTAAATACTGTATTCGTGAGCATATGCAATTTGGTGCCGATCCAAATAAATTTAAATGTGGTTTCATAAGGAGACTGTTGATGGATGTATGCACTCAAATGAGTGCCATTCTAGGTTGATATTTTATGATTGCTAAATCAGTATTTTAAGTTGTTAACTGAGAAAGCATGAACTCCCACTCAACAGCTCTATAAACAGAACACAATAATGTTTAGCAGACGGTTTGAAATAAAAAAAAGAAGTTGGACCATCTCGCCAGCATTTCATCATACATAATAATTCGTGGCATAATCACCTTTCAGTTTTATGGGTCGGACGGAACCGTGATTATAAATTACAACACAGTAACCACACAAATTTACGTTCACTCATTATGGTTTTGGCATCTTTTCTCCTGCACTGCAATGGTGCAAACTAAGTGAGGAGCCACATTTGGGAATGTGGGATTGGGGCATTGTAGGTGGGCACAGATGAAATTAACCTCAAACTGATGGACAGACCTTTTCAACATAAACATCTCCTCGGCTCGGCTGCACTGTTTGCACTCTGTCTGTTAGTTGCTGAGTCATGTCTAGTTCCACTTAAAATTCAGAAACAAGCAGTGCTGTTGTCATCATGTAAACCACTCCCAGTTGTCTGCTGAGTGCTCTGGTTCCGGCCGCCAGTCTAAATCGATTCCCAGTGGACGTCTTCCAGACTTAATCTGAAATTGTGAGATTTAGGTCTTTGCTTTGTCTAACTCCTGCAAGAGAAAAACAAATGCAGCACACTCTGCTTGTTCAAGTGAATGCATCCCAATCCAGTTTTATTTGTATAGCGCCTTATCATAGCACACACTATCTCAAGCGTTTATAGAGAACTGGTGAGTGGACGAAGATCAGTTCGGGCCATTCCGTTTCATTATCATCACTTAAAGCCTGTAATTTACCAGCAGAACTGTTACTCCGGTTTCTTAATACTCCTGAGGTGTAAACAGCTGCATTAAAAAGTAATAATCCCTAAACTGTGAGTCAACATGCACATATATTATTCACATTAACTCCAGTCCTCCTGTGTCTACGAGCACACACACACAGACTTTAGAGGCTGTTGACCGGGAGCTAAATTGTGTTTATCTGTTTAATTAAGATATAATTAGAAGGATGAAACATTATTTTGTATAATTGTTTATTTACCGTCTTCCTGTTACGATGGGCCTAACCTCCTCCCCAGGAGACCCGCTCAGATACAGACTTGGCTTAAACACACGGTAGCACTACTACACACACACACCAGCCAGCAATAGGATCCAGAGTATTTCTACTTAGCAGCTATCCTTAATCAGACTTTGCATTGACTTCTATTCACTGTGAACAGCCTGACCAATACTTTATCACTAACCTTAACCAAACCACAATTTACATATTACCACTAACCATAACCAGACCTCTGGAATGATGTTTTGCTTCATTAGGACCAGGCTTTGGTCAGTGTTTATGGAAAAAGTCATTTAGAGGTAAAACGAGTATACACACACACACACACACACACACACACACA